TAATGAATAAAACAGTGAAGAGAGACGTTGGTGGAGCTGTATGACGTGAAGAAGGTTAATTTGCATATCTGGTGGAGTTTATAGTGGTCGTGACTCACTTTATATCTCCCTACACGAGCTGACGTCCGCCAATACCTCCACCACCACCCCCCACTACCTCCACCATCATCACCCAGCACCTCCACCACCACCACCACCCCCCCTCCACCACCACCAACACCACAGCCTAGCGTCCTACCGTGACTAAATTTAAGTCATTAACAAAATTAGGCATAAAATGTATACTATTATGTAGCATGAAGAAAAGAATTTATCTCATTAGCCAATATTATGCATAAAACACAAGTTATTTTCCTACTGTATTAAGAAGATCCCAATTATTTTAAGTAATAATTTTTCTTTTAATACCATAATCATCATCAAACGTTGTCATAATAAACACCATCACTATTATGTCTCAGAACCATCCTTCTTCCCGTCTAAATAAAAATCTCAATGCGTTTAATATGGTGTAGCAGCTGTAGCCAGAAGCGAGGCGACGAATAGTGCGCTATCATACTGTAAAGGAGGAAGGACCCAACCAGGCCCCTTGTAAGAACTCGGCGCCCATTATGCCTTACACAATAATTATTTTCCCCGTGATGATCATGTACACAATTTTAAACGTTTCCGAATAAATATTCTTGGTACTCTTATAGGATTTTTTTTTTTTTTTGCCTGTGCAGTATACGACATTTTTTATATCATTTCTTTCCTTTCTTTTCAAGTTTATTTTAAATTTTCTGTCTGCGTTGAAATATTTTTGGCATTTTTTTTTTTTGGTGTCTATTTCAAGATTACTGTTTTGCGTTTTTTATATATATATTTTTTTTTCAAGATTTGCTGAGAAAGTTTTACTCGTGTTTTCTTGTTTTTGGTTAATCCTTAATTTTACATTTTAAGATTCTAATGCTTAAAAAAAAAAATTAATGATAATTTTGTTGGTATTTTAGCATTTTTTCTTTATTTATATCCCAATATTTATTGTCTTCTCTCCCTTATCAACAACAACAACAACAACAACAACAAGAGTAAACAACTAGAGTAAACAAGACAGGGGATAAAAACTTTGCATATTAATAGAAGAATAAAAACACTGCTTGGAGAAAAAATAAAAAAAATAAATAATAAAAAATAAAACAGCATCAATCATGACTAGAAGCGCCTTGTTGTGCTCCCCGCCATACTGATCACATCTTCAAAGGCGCCGAGGAACCATTCTTTTTGGGTTTACTACTACCACCACCATCAGGTTACCATCACTATCAGACTACCACCACCATCAGGTTACCATCACTATCAGACTACCACCACCATCAGGTTACCATCACTATCAGACTACCACCACCATCAGGTTACCATGACTATCAGACTACCACCACCATCAGGTTACCATCACTATCAGACTACCACCATTACTACCACCACCATCAGGCTACCATCACTATCAGACTACCACCACCATCAGGCTACCACCACTATTCAGACACCACCATTACCACCACTATCAGCCTACCACCACCACAGGCTGCCATCACTATCAGACTACCACTACTACTACCACCACTGTCAGGCTACCACCATTACTACCTACACCATCAGGCCACCACCACTTCAGCACCACTACCACCATTACTATCAGGCTACCATCACTATCAGACTACCACCACCATCAGGCTACCACCACTATCAGACTACCACCACTATCAGACTAACACCACTATCAGACTACCACCACCATCAGACTACCACCATTACTACCATCGCTATCAGGTTACCACCACTACCATGATACCACTACTACTACCACCACCATCATCAGACTACCACCACTATCAGACTACCACCATTACTACCACCACCATCAGGCTACCACCACTATCAGACTACCACCATTACTACCACCACCATCAGGCTACCATCACTTCCATGATACCAGTACTACTACCACCACCATCAGACTACCACCATTACTACCATCGCTATCAGGTTACCACCACTACCATAATACCACTACTACTACCACCACCATCACCACCACCATCAGACTACCACCACTATCAGACTACCACCACAACCACTATTACAACCACCGCTACTACAACCACCAGGCTACCATCACTACTACCTGCAACAGATTACCACTACTGCCACTCCCACCACCATATCCAACACCACCACATCACCTCCACAACGAGCACAACCAAAAACATCATCCAGACATAATCCTGGCGGCCCCTGTGAATCTTCAACCAAAGCCTAAATATGGTTAATCGCCCTCACCATCAACCAGCCTCCCTCGAGCTAACATTCCTAAAGTCTCGTGGGGTTATATTTTTTTTTTAAACCCATAACAAGATGACCGACTTCCCCAGGCTAAGGTCGAGTCTCAGTGCAATTTCGACGCCATTATAGATCTTTATTTTCGTGTATTGTTTCGGAAGAGTCAGTTCATGTCCTCACGTCACCAATTAGATGAAGATTTCAACTTTGTCGATCCAAGTCCAGTCTCTGTGTAGTTTTGATGCCATTTTGGACGCAGTTTCCTCGGGTAGTTTCTCAAGTTTGACAGTTGGAGTCGTCCTCACCTCACAAGTTACAGAAAAACTGGAGACTTTGTCAAACATACGCCCCCGCCTGGACATATTCTGAACTGGACGGACGGATTCAAGGACGGACGGACGGATGGATGGATGGATGTACGGACAGACATACAAACGGAAACACGGACGGAAAATACACATAGTTGTGAATATCCCAAACCACAGGTTGCGGGGCTATAAACTAAGGTAGATGATCTTTTCAAAAACACCGGCTACCATAATTCTGTCTGGTACACAGTGAACCTGGGTGACAGTCTCGGTATAATGTTGATGTTATTTTTTGTTACCTTTGTTCTTTAACTTAAGTCAACCGGTTTTGTGCAGCCTTTCGTCTCCAGATATGAGCAATAGTCATCTTACGAACCTCAGAGAATGTGGACCAACGTCGCTCTGTAAACAAAGCCGCTGCTGCCATCTGCCGGCGGCGCCACACATTGTTATTGATACACGTGTATAACCTGATGATGGCGTCTGGGTTTTACTTTTTTTTAATTTGATTTTTCCTCGAGTTGCAACGAACCTCTAATGTATCGCGAATTTTTCTTATTTTTTTTTATTTTTTTTCGACTTTCAAGAAAGCTTTGGTGTGTTGTAGCTTATTTTATTTTCCTTAATTTTTACCTGGACTTTCAAGGGAGTTTTACTTTATATTTTTAATTCCAAGTAATTGTAATTCACATATTGTTTAAAACATATATGCTACTATGTTATTTTTTCCCTTCAACTTGTTGGTGACGCGAGATACTAATGATTAACACAGTTAATTGATTTATAGATTTTTAACAATTTCTTGTGATTAAAGTTTTCTTTTGTTAAACTTTCTACTTTCTCTTTTCGTCCATTAAGTATTTTTTATCGTGATTTTTCTTCTCAAACTTTCTGTAGCTTTGAAATATTCGAACCTTAAGTTAACTTCTTTCGCCGGAGTTGTCGTTATAAAGTGTAGGTTAAATGGGCCCCTGTCCTAATGGGCCCCTGTCCTAATGGGCCCCTGTCATAATGGGCCCCTGTCATAATGGGCCCCTGTCCTAATGGGGCCTACTGTTAATGGGCTCCAGTCTTAATGAAGTGTAGTGTTAATGGATTCCAGTCCTAGTAGGCCCCATCTCTAATGGACTCCAACCTAACTATTATGATAAAATATATATTAGAGTTGCGATCCAAACTTTATAGTAAGGTAAGGTAAGGTAAGGTAAGGTAAGGTAAGGTAAGGTAAGGTAAGGTAAGGTAAGGTTAGGTTAGGTTAGGTAAGGTAAGGTAAGGTTAGGTTAGGTTAGGTAAGGTAAGGTTAGGTTGTATATCAGAACGAGCACCATTAGGACTAAACCCTATCTTACATGTGACTTGAGTACCTAGATTCTGTATCATATTACAAGTAATGTTTTAAATAATTTGTTATATGACCATGAATATTATTATCATTATTATTATTATCATTATTATCATTATTATTATTATTATCATTATTATTATTATTATCATTATTATCATTATTATCACTATTATTTATTATTCTCATTTATTATTTTTATTATTATAGTTACCATCATTATCCTCCCATTTCTTGCTTCGTACATTCACACCCTCAGGAGCGTCTTATAGGCTACACCTGTCCTGGCCCCCAAAACACTCAAAGGCAATAGACATCTACATACACCAGTGGAGGAGGAGGAAGAGGGGAGGAGGAGGAAGAGGGGGAGGAGGAGGAAGAGGAGGAGAGGGAGAGGAGGAGGAGGAGGAGGAGGAGGAGGAGGAAGAGGAGAAGAGGGAGAGAGGAGGAGGAGGAGGAGGAGGAGTGAGAAGAGGGAGAGGAGGAGGAGGAGGAGGAAGAGCAAAAGCCATTAGCTGCAACATGTAAGCCCCTTTTCTGCCTCGCTGGTTATGGTGAGTGAGCCAGGACGGGAGGGAGGGAGGGAGGCAGGGGAGAGACAGGAAGGAGAGAGGGGGGGAGGGCGGGAAGGGAGTAAAATAGGGGGATGGATATGTGGTAAGGAAAGGGGAGAGGAAGAGTAGTGAGGAATGAAGAGGGATGGGGAAGGCCGTAAAGAGGAGTGGTGGGGTAGAAAAGGAGGGAGGAAGTGGGAGGAAGAATGAAAGAGTAAAGAAGGAGAGAGGAAGCAAGGAAGAGGAGGAGGAAGTAAGGAAAAAAGGAAGAGACAAGGAAATGGGGGAGAAGAGGGGGGGAGAAGCAAGGAAGAGGAAGAGGGAAAGAGGACAGAGAAGCAAGAAGTAAAGACGGAGGTACGTAGGAGAGAGGGAGTTACATGTCAAATGGGCTCCTGTCCTAATGGGTCCCTGTCCTAATGGGTTCCTGTCTTAATCGGTCCAAGTCCTAGTAGCCCCTGCCCTAATTGGCTCCTATCCTAATGGGTCCTTGTCCTCATGGGGTCCCTGTACTCCTGGGTCCCTGTAATCCATGGGCCCTTGTCCTAATGGATCCCAACTTAATTATGAAGAATAGGTTAAGTTGAAGTTAAATTAGTTTGTTATGTTAGGCTAAGTTAAGGCGAAGTTGAAACTGTGTTAGGTTAAGCTTGGTTAGGTTTGGTTAGGATAGGTTAAATTAGGATGACCTAAGTTGAGAGAGAGAGAGAGAGAGAGAGAGAGAGAGAGAGAGAGAGAGAGAGAGAGAGAGGAACAAAAGGGCTTTCTGAACAGATGGTTGTGGTGAGTCACCAGATGGCGGGAGGGAGTGGGGGCGTGGTTGTGGGCGTGGGGAGAGATCAGTAGAAGCGCGGAATGGGTACAGGCATTGGGGGGGGTCAGAGGATACATGAGAGTGGAAGTGGGCGCAGCTACAGGGCGCGGTGGGCATAGGCGTGGGTGGAGGCGCGGTAGGCATGGGTGTAAGTGGAGGCGTGGTAGGCGGAGGCGTGGATAGGGGTGCGGTAGATATGGGCGTGGGTGGAGGCGGGGTAGACACGAGCATGGGTGGAGGCGTGGTATACATGGGCGTGGGTGGAGGTGCGGTAGACATGGGCGTGGGTGGAGGCGCGGTAGGCGTGGGCGAGACAGGACACAGCAGGATAACATCACACGCCATAAGGAGAGCTGCCAAATTTTCGCCCGTCCGTAGAACTGATTGGTGGCGTTAATTGCCCAACTATAAAATTGGCTGATACGAAACAGCCTCGAGCGGTAGTTAGGACTTCCTCTGGCCAACTTCACGAAGGTGCTAAAAGGGGGCGTAACCATCAACTGACAACGAAACTAGAATAACAACCCTTATTTACAGGTGATTTTGGTATCGATTTCAGTCTGTTTTTTCCGTAGTCGTTTTGGTCTTTCGTCAGAGAACAAAATTGAAGAATAATGAAACTGAATAATCGGGAGATATTTAAAGGAGTCGAGTCTTATCTGGAGATTCATTAACCTGTTCGAGCCTGATTAACCAATTACCTCCCTACCTGAAGTATTTCTCAAGGTAGGCTGAGGGGGCGGAACACACACACACACACACACACACACACCCTGAATATATCATATAATTTTCGGAGAAATATATAAATATATAATAAATCTTGAAAATGTAAAGTAGCTCGTGGTAGAGCCTGAGGACTTACAGTATCTTATAAAATTAAAGAAAGAATTGATACGATGGGTCCTTATTAATGTGGAGATTAAACCCTAGATTACAACGACTTAATCCCTTGAGTACGATGCCTTAATCACTTGACTATACGATAACAACATTTTGAGTACAATGATTTAATACCTTGAGTACGAAGACTTAACCCTTTGAGAACGATGAGAATGATGACGTATCCTTTTGAGAACGATGAGAATGATGACTTAACCCTTTGAGAACGATGATTTAACCCCCTTGAGAATGATGACCTAACTCCTGGTATACAATGCATTAAACTGTTAACACCCTCAGAACATCATCATCACACTCAAGGGCAAAAGTCATTGTATTTATCGACTCAGAACAACATACAAAAGACACTCAGTTATCGTATTCAAGGAGTTAAATCATCGTTCTCAAAGGGTTAAGATATCTTACCCTTTGGACAAATTCACTGTACTGAGGAGGTTGGGGTCGTATTGAGGGGGTCGTGGTCGTATTGAGGGGGTCGGAGTCGTATTGAAGGGGTCGATTTCGTATTGAGGGGGTTGAGGTCGTATTGAGGGGTCGGAGTCGTATTGAAGGGGTTGGGGTCGTATTGAGGGGGTCGGGGTCGTATTGAGGGGGGTCGGAGCCTGCACATTGAGGGGGTCGGGGTCGTAGCTAGAGGGTCGGGGGTCGTATTGAGGGGGTCAATGTATTGAGGGGGTCGGGGTCGTATTGAGGGGTCGGGGTCGTATTGAGGGGTCGGGGTCGTATTGTGTCAATGTATTGAGGGGGTTGGGGTCGTATAGAGGGGTCGGAGTCGCATTGAGGGGTCGGGATCATTGAGGGGTTGAGGTCGTATTGAGGGGTCGGGGTCGTACTGAGGGGGCTCGGGTCGGCATTGAGGTCGGGGGTCGTATTGAGGGGGTCGGGATCATTGAGGGGGTCGGGGTCGTGTTAGAGGGGGGCTGGGGCCGGCCAGGGTCAGGGGTCGGGTATTGAGGGCCGGAGTCGTATTGAAGGGGTCGGGGCCGTCGCAGAGGGGTCGAGGTCTATTTAATAATAATAATATTATTAGGGGGTGTGTGTGTGTGTGTGTGTGACATCACTTTCTTACTAATTTCTACCTTTTTAATTTTCTATTTTTCTGTAGTTACCCCACGAGAAGAAAATGGGAGTAAAGACAATAAAACACTGATACAGAGGCGAAGAACATACAAACACCAGAACACAAACTTACATTAAATACTGAAATAAAAATGAATAGAGAGCTTGAACACACACACACACACACACACACACACACACACACACACACACACACACACACACACACACACACACACACACACACACACACATAACGTAATATCGAAAAGAAAAAAATTCCCCCATAGAAATCCCAAGAAAATCCCACCAATATCCCGGAAGAAAATAAATAAAATAAATAAAATAAAACAATAAGGAGTTACAGGACATACTTTTCTAAACTCTTGGGCAGGACAGTTGGGACAGCGAGATTGTATCGGAAGTTCCAATATTGCCTTACAACCCCGTCCTTCCCTCTCCATCCCTCCCTCCCCCCCAGCCTCCGTTTAACACCACGCCTCGAAAAGCCCCTCCCGCCACCAATAGCTACTTTCCAACACACGATGCCGCAAAGGTCTTTAAGCACTCATGGTCCATCTCCTCCCTATTTAGTCTATAAGCGTATCGACGTTCATGACCCCCGTGGGATGTATCACTCTTGCCCCCTGATGAGCCGGCCACAGCTGCCCTGGCCATCTTATCGTACGAACCATCGCTCGAAAATTGACTGCGGGAGTTATTCAGCGCGTGGATTAATTTGTCCCGGGTTGAAATAATTAGGGAATAATTAGCTCTAATGGCCCAGAAAGTATTTAGGGATGATGAGGAGTATAGTATTATAAAAGAGAGTAGACCCGAGCTGAGGTCTTATTATTCAGAAGTATTATAAGATGATATAGTCTAATATATATATATACTGGGCTCTGGGCTTCAAATTCTGTAAGGTCAATCAGGCAGGCGTATGGATAACCGGATTTTCAGGTCTTACTAACTTTAAGATTTACTATTAATAACAATAATAATGATAATGCTAATAATAATAATAATAACACCAACATCGACAATAATAATAATAATAATAATAATAATAATAATAACTTCAGTCAACATATACAGTAAACACAGCGTCCCATCACAGAGGCATAGATTTTAATGGTGAGTACAAAGATAACATATCTCTTGAGCATGAAGGGGCCCGCCTGGTACCTTAAATATACCACCTGCCACCAGTTATCTCCCACCAACTCTGACAACACTATGTTCTCAAAGCACCAGCATGTATCAGACTCTGCCAACACAACAACAGTCTTATAACATTACTTCTCGCTTACAGCAAGAAATATAACCCCTCTTGTATAACTACACACACAGATATCAACAGTTATCTTATGTCTTAGTTAAGTCTAACCTGACCTAACCAATAACCTCACCTAACCTAAGCTAACCAATAACCTAACCTAACCAATAACCTCACCTAACCAATAAACTAACCTAACCTTACATGCGCTAACCCCACCTAATCATTAGAACTAGGGCTCATCACAAAAGACTTCACCTAAGGTCCCTAGTCCTTAGGTGAAGACTGGGTCCTAATATGACTCGGCCCTAATGGTACTGTTAGGTTAGGAGCCAGCAAGACTTAGAACCAGGGAAGGCCATGGCCCATTTGACCAGTCACCGTTCATCACAACAGCGTGTAAGCCGAACATCTTGTGCTAGATGCCCAATCGTTGAGTATCGATCCCGGGTTCTACAGACAATAAGAACATCACAAGAACCTTCACCCCACGCCTCCTCTGTATGGTAGACCTGAGATTCGTCTTCCTATTCCTTCTGTGACTAGTAAGGGTTTAATAACAACAATAATGAAGAAGAAGAAGAAGAAGAAGAAGAAGAAGAAGAACAAGAACAAGAACAAGAACAAGAACAACAAGAACGACAACAACAACAACAACAACAACAACAACAACAAGAACGACAATAATAGTAATAAATTATAGTAGTAAATAATAATAACAACAACAATACTAATACATTATTTTCATATACAAATCACAAACACACCTTCCCGACACCTGACAACCAACAAACACAGGTTAAACCACTCTTAATAAACCATAAGTGTTGCCTAGTGTAAACAAAACTGACTCGGTAAATGTGCTACACAAGACCTCACTCAGTCAGTAGTTGTTGAAGCTCAGGGATACATTATTAACACCAACTGGTCAGGTTTTTAATAGTAAAGGTCACTCACCAGTCTACTATATGGAGTCATTAACAGAGAGATTTATGGCCCGTTGTGATTCCAGTGACCTAAACAATTCTTCAGATTAGTGCATCATAAATAATGTTCTTCTAAGATTTAAAACACCAATTAATTTTCATAGTTAGGTGTTTATATATAGCGAGAGAGAGAGAGAGAGAGAGAGAGAGAGAGGAAACAAGTAGACAGACAGACAGACAGACAGACAGACAGACAGACAGACAGACAGACAGGCAAACAGACAGACAGACAGACAGACAGGCAGGCAAAACAGGGTCAAATCAAAACGCCCCCTTTCATATGTACTGAGGAAAGAATAATAAGTCCTTCACTAATAAATTATGTTTAGTGTTATAACCTAAGGCTAATTTACATATATCTAATATTTGCCAATAAATTAAGTTTAGAGAGACAGGTAAGGTGTCTTAAGAGTTACCAGAAGAGATTTATGCTCGTAACCCAAACGTTCACACAATCAAACTGGTCAATAAGTCTTCAATGTTTACAAATTTTGTTTAGGTTGACGAGTAGTGCTTTATCGACGAGGAGCTGAATAAATAAATGATCTTTAAACTCTTGAGTACAATGATTTAAATCCCTTGAGTACAATGATTTAAATCCCAAGAGTACAATGTGTTTATTCATTGAGTATGGTATCTTGACCACTTTCATTACGATGCTAGTCATTGAATTTAAGTCATCGTTATCAAAAGGTTAAGTCATCGTACTCCAGGGATTAACTAATCGTACTCAAAAGGATTAAGTCAAGGGTTATGTCATCGTACTCAAGGGGTTAAGTCATAATTCTCAAAGGGTTATGTTATAGTTATCAAATGGTTGGCATAATTCTCAAAGGGTTATGTTATAGTTATCAAAGGGTTGGCATAATTCTCAAAGGGTTATGTTATAGTTATCAAAGGGTTAAGCCATCGTTATCAAAGGGTTTAAGATGTCAAGGTAATTCACTGAACCATGAAGACAAACGCAGACCAACAGACTAATCTCCAATGTGTTTGTGATAAATGATCTCTAGGTTAGTGGCTGGTGTGTGGCGAGGGTTAATCTCAACAAATAAATTCTGATCATTTTAACATGAACATAAATATTTAGTGTGAGAAAAAAGATCAGAGCTATAATA